ATACAAAATTCATTGTTTTACTCCTTTACAATTCCAGACTTCTGCGGACTAATAAGTGTCAGATCATGCAGGTGCTACAGTAAGTTGTATAGAGGAAAGAAAGCAGTTCAAGTCCTTCAGTGATCATGCTGGATTTTAATAGGAACTTTCTCATTCGAAAATTATCGATGGCAATTTCCTTTGTCACGTTCGCTTTCCTGAAAACTTCGACCGCGAGCAGTGTTCCTTCTCCGATCCAGTTTCCTCCAATCATTGGTATCTCTCAAAATGAACAGTTTCCTACGGGGCATCTTCAACCTTTGGGCTATCAGCGTGTTCCTGATGGACCCGTCAAAGAGTACTTTGACGTTCTTCGAGGTGATTTGTTTTGGGAGAAACATGTTGGTAAAGGCATTCCATTAGTGTTTCGACAGGGAATCGGCGAATCACCCGCTTTATTTACGTGGACGGATGATCATTTAAAAGACAAATATGGAGACCTAGATGTCCTCATTGAGTTAAAACAAGAAAATCGTTCTCATCCTCCTCGAAGGATGACTATTGCGGAGTTTCTCTCTCGGTACGAGGAAGAAGATATGTATATTGTAACAGTTTTGCCTGATCCGATGAGACGAGATGTTCAGGTAAGGTAACCAAGCAGAAGTAGAGGTAAACAAAAATGTTGGTTTAAAGAAGTTCACAGGTTGTTAACTATCTATTGTTTGCTTCTCGCGCCCTTGATGGTAAGGAAATTAATCTTTTTATTGCTCTAACGGAGTCGATTACGTGTAAATCTGAAAATTTATATTGGATGAAAAACCGTCCATCCGGTATTCTACCGAAAGTGCGGTTAAAAAAAAAGTATACAAAAGATTCAAAAGACACTACTTCAAGTTATAGATAGTTCATGTGTTTGTTGAAGTGATCGGTTCAATTAGGTTATTGTTGGTTAAATTTTAATTCATGAAAGATCTAACTGCACGTAAAATATAACTGTTGCACGCTTCCTGGTAAATTCGGTCTGAGAATTTGGTCTGGTATTAATTTAAGAAAATACCCAGCTGATAACGTTGTCCATTGCTTCTTACTTGCTTAGTGATGAATTGATCTAACCTTTTAACTCCCAGAAGTGAATAACATAAAACTTCTCTCGACAATACATTAGTCAGCAAACAGGTAAAGAGAATATTCAAACTTATCAGGTAGAAGCTGCTATCTTGATCTGGAACCAAGTTCTCATAACTAATTTATAAGGAAATGTGTAGCAGCTAGAGGGGAGAATTAACAATTAGATCTTGGGAGTCAAAGGGTTAACTCAAGTTATTGTAGAAGTTACTTGTTACCCGCCTCTACCAGGGGATTTATTGATTAAGTTACAAGGAAGTATTTATAAAAGAATTTAACAAACTTTCAAACATTGATAATAAATAATGTATTGTATTTCCTCGAATAAGATCTTAGATGCTTTTTTACATTTTTGGCTTAAAAGAGGGGCACTTGTTTGAGGGAGGGAACTTAATCAAGGGAGCACTTATTATACTCCTAGACGGATTCCACTCTAGTTGGAGCTTAAAACATTTTGAATAAAGTGGCAATGGAAACAGGTTTTCCTAGTATCCCTACTATTTAAGAAACCAAAGGAAGAGGGGGCACTTATTTGAGAGGGGTTCTTTTTTGACATTATTGCCTCATGGGGAGGGCACTTTTTCAGGGCAGGGTAGTTATTAGGGTGTAGTGCTTATTCAAGAAAAAAAACCAGTATATATATTGTCAGCTTATATTTCTCTAAAACTTCCTTGAACTCAGGTTCCAACCTGTTTGCTTTGTGGCACATTTCTTGATTATGTCCATGAAACCAATTTCTGGATGAGTTCAGGGGGAACGCGATCAGTCATTCATTATGATGCAGATCATAACTTGCATTGCTTGGTAACTGGGCGCAAGGATTTTATCATGATGGAGAAAAAATACTATACAGACTTGTACTTCCTAGAGAAGGTAAATATATAAATAAAAACTTAGAGAAATGGTAGAGTTTAAAATGTTGTTTTACACTTTGTATTCATTTTAGTCCAAAAGAGTAGAAAAAGGTGGTTATTTTTTTCAGGGCTTCTTTAATTTTCCACCATATACTCAAAGTGTTTTTCTATAACTTTCAGAATCAACATTCAGGATCAGGGTTTTCAGAAATTGACCCAAACAGGATTAACTTGTTTGAACATCCTAATGTGGCTAATGTACCATGGACCTATGCAACACTCTTGCCAGGGGACTGTATTTACATTCCAGCAGGTAAAGCCATTAGGTTGGGTGTCAAGGGTTACCAATTACTGCAGGAAGTTTGATTTCTGTGCATGAAGGAATTATCCTGTAGTACTGGGCCGGGTTGTTCAAAGCTGGGTTAAGATAACCCAGGGTTAGTGTGAAATCCGATTTCAGATCTAAAAGCTTTACAAGAAAATTCAGTCGAATTCTTTTTGTTTAGAGTATGACTACTTGATGCTTTAAAAAGGACACTGAAAATTTTCCCAAAAAGGCTTTTGAGTAAAGGAATAAAGAAACGCAGATTAAAATTTAACCCTGAGTTAGCGCTAATCGGCCTTCGAACAACTGGGCCCTGTATTTTACTTATTATAAAGGGGGTAAGTTGCTGAAGAAACCGTGGTGCTGCATTACTGAGGGAGTCTAATGAGATAATTTTGGTTTTATCAGCCAAGTTGATGCTGAAAATTGGTGTAGAGTTTCAAAGCTGATGTGTTGAGCATTAGTCTGTCATCTGAGTGAAGGGTTAATGCTCTGACATATGGCTAATGTTTGAAATGTCAGCTATGAAACTCTTTACTGTGACCAATTAACTTTAACAACTTAGTTGATAAAACCAAAATTATCTTGTCATGTCATTATAGGCCTCCCTCAAACCATGACCACCCTTAGCTTGCCTAAACTTGGTAAAAGGATCATGCAAAATTATCAATAACTACTTCCCTGGAATAAATACAGCATCCAGTTAGAAGGATGAAGCATAAACTCAAGGTTTACAAGAAAATAAAAAACAAAAGTGCCACTGACACAAATCAGTAATGTAAACCATCCTTAGAAATTTTAATTTAAAAAAATGGGACAGTGAGTGAAACTCTAAATAAGCTTCTGTGCTGCATAATAATCATTTATATACATGTGGTTTGTGCAGAACAACCTCTTAGCACTTGAAAATTATTTCCAGCTCACTTTTTAAGATTTAACTACATCTTTTTTTTCTTTCCTTCTTTTTAAATGAGTGATTTGTTACACTTATTGCATGGTAATATTTTGATAAATATTAATGAGCACTCATTTAAAATCTGAATTTTGCAATTGCATTCCCAGTATATACTTGCAAAAAAATTAGGAACCATATATACCTAATTCTTTTCAACTTTTTTCTCCTTGTAGAATACATACATCAGGTGCGGTCATATAACAGAACCATCTCAGCAACAATTCTCTTCACATCAGGACCCCTGGTGGGGGCACCTTTTGAACCCAAAGGTTGTAACAGAGAACATTTTGAATACACACCACTTAGTGAGTTGAAAGTACACTGGACATATAAAAAGGGAGACAGGCTTATTGAAATGGGTTACATGAACGTGGAGGTTCTGCGTTATAGCATACTAGCAACCATGAAGGAAAGAAATGAAGATGTTTTAACAAAATATACATTTCTTGATCTATGGCAGCAACAAGAAGACAGAGAGGGGGACCATGATAAAGACAAACTAAGTGAAGAACCTTTTAAAATTTTTCATCAGCTTTTGGATACTGAGAGAAAAGGATTCTTGACAAAACAGGACATATTAACTATTACACATGAAAATCTTAAGAAAGTGGCTCGTTTACTTGATCCTCCTCATGGGCCTGTGGTAAAAGAGGAAGAAGAAAACAGCTTAAATGAAGACACAGGATCACACGAAGAACTTTAATTGATGTTGTTAAATTATCTAACTGCAAGTTAACAAAGAGAGTCACGAGAAACAGATAATCTAGCTTCTGCTTCAACTGTCAGTCTCTTCAGATGTAAAATATTCTATATACAGACTGTGCAATAAGATTTCTGTGCCCAGTGGGTACTACCCAGCCTTAAGCTATTGTTATTTCATACAGTCCATGCTTTCACTGAGTAAAAGCTTAATTCCACCTCCTTATGCTTACTCATCCAGGGGTAAGACCTGGCAAGAATAAAAACTGCTGAAAGTCTGCAATGTGTTCGTTGTTTTAAAGTTTCGATGTTTTTACCTGAATGAGAATTACACAATTCACTTTAACACAAGTGTTTTAATGAGAAACAGAACCATTCACTTGTGATTAATATTCTACAACTATCTTTTTAAACTTTAAAATGGCAGAAGACTCAGGCAAATACAAAGACTAAATACAATGCATCATGAGACTTAAATTGGACCATATTTTTTTTTTACAAAAAGATTTACACTGATAGATAAATAAGTGCACTTCGAACCACCTAACACTAAAGGTTCTTCAATAATTATACATCTTTCTTAATATTTCATGTAAATCATTTTGATCTGCTTTCAGTAGTAAAAACCTAACTTTAAATAACAACTACATGTATGTTCACCCAAATGTCTTTCCTTTAACAGTCAGTCTCCAGCCTCTTAACCCTTGAACTCCCATGAGTGATTAAGAAAGAATTTCTCCTTACAATATCAATACAATATCAACCAGATAAGTGATGAGATAAAGAAAAATGCCAATTTGGGGATAATTTGTTGAACCAACACTAAATTCTCTGAACTAACATTATAAGAATTGTATGGTTGACAGTAAGGAGAATTACAAATTTGATCTGGAGTTAAAGGGTTAAAATAAAATAACAGAGAGTATTCATGTTGGCAGGAAGAGCTTGTCTTTCCTTGTATATAATGGCTGTTCTCTTCATTAAGGTATATTTGAGAAGAAACTGGTTAAGGTTGAGGGTATACAGCCAACCATACTCATGAAAACACTTTTCCAGCTGCACCATAAATTCATCCAAACAGTCAAGTCCTGAACAGTGTTTTAACAAAAATTTGAGTTTTGAATTATTGATCCATTCCCAGGAAACTCACCACTCCAAGCAGCACAATCTTCTTCTGAATCAATCTCATTCCATCAGCTCAAGCTAAAGGAACACAATGACAGACAAAGATAAACAAGACTGTTTTTGGCAGAGGACAGTATTCATAAAATCCCACTTACATCACTAGCTTCACTTTCCTGTTCAGATACATGTACACTGCCACTAGAAAGTGATAAACAATATGTTCCCAGCTGGGGCATTTCTTTAAAATTTGGTTTAAAACTGAACTGCAACACTAATATTTGAACCTTCATTTCTTAGGAAGTAAACTATAAATTTTAAAGAAAACGTTACATTATTGATAATAAATAAATCCTTTGATACAGTATAAGATTTTAGTGAGGGTAATGGAAATAGTCATTAACTTACAAGATCCTCAGCATCGTCTGTATAATCATTGGCTGGACGTTCTTCCTTTTCAACAGCACCATCATGACCTTCTAAAAACTGTTAGCAAAAAACATTTTCAAGTTAATATCTGCTGTTGTTTATCTGAAGCACTGAACCAGATATCAATTATAACCTAGACTGAGAGAGAATTGATAAGCATGGTGATAATGGAACTCACAGCAAAGCAGATGATCAAAGGCTGGTTAAACAGTCAGTCATTCTTAGCTTATGCTGGGCCATTGGTTGGTGAGGGTACAAAAAAGGAGGCAAGTGTAAAACAGTGGGAAAATGGAAAAAGCTGGGCTGCCCACTTCTCCTGCAAGGAATCTTAACCCTTTAACTCCCAAGATCTGATTGTTAATTCTCTCCTCTAGCTACTACACATTTCCTGGTAAATTAGTTACAAGAACTTGGTGCTAGATCAAGATAGCAGCTTCTATCTGATAAGTTTGAATATTCTCATTACCTGTTTGCTGAAGAATGTATGGATGCTGTAAGGAGAAGTTTTATGTTAATCACTTCTGAGAGTTAAAAGGTTAATGTCTTGTCAGGTTTTTTGACTCTCCCTATTAAATAGATTAATTTAAATGTACATGACTACACTGTACAATCCAAGAGAGCTTACCTCTTTAGCTTGATTGTCTGTGACATTACTATCTGGAGATTCAGTTTGACTAATTAAGGTTACTTCCTCTATAAAACAAAAGAAAATACTGAAATTATCATAATTGTATACTATGGGCATCAGTAAGCTCCAAACCTCAAAATGATAAACACAGCAAAAGCTTCTCTCAAAGCTGGGTTTTTTGCTAGAGATGGAGTTGGGGTTTTAAGAACCTTAGAGCCTAGGTAAAATTTTAAAGTTCCACCCATAAGGAAACTCTTATAAAATATATATTAAGATTATGCTATAAGGCTAACAGAATCAAAATCTGAACATTTTAACACTAACAATTATATGAACTGTTTTGACCGAGCAATAAATGTAATTATTCTATTTAGTATGTAGTGAGAATCTCCTTTCTTACTTTTCACTATCAGAAGCCAAAATCTATGGCCTAATTTATTGACGATCTTCTCTTTCAACTCTTGCAGAAATGTGTTAAACATCAAAGATTCCCCAGCCTGAAAAAATCCAAACATACTTAGGGGTGAGATAAATGAAAGCTAACCAGAGTGGTACATCATCAATAGACAGCTGACTTGTAGGAACAAAATTTGTCGGGGCTCCAAAAGATTGCACTTACAGTGGCACATTATTATTGGGCAGAGAGAAGGAGTACCTTAAGGTTATGCTGATATTGATGCAATATATTGGGGTGGAAGCCCATCACTGTGAGGCTGATCAGGGAATCCCCTTGAAAATGTGTGGAAATAACACTGTGCTCCAATCCAATTTAGCTTATTTGAAAAAATTTTCCATTGTGCACTGCACATGCAAAACTGGTGATTTTTTTTTGTAAAAATGTAAAATATTGAATTTCTTCAGTGCTGTTTTTACCTTGATAGCTTCCTCTCTCAGTACATTTACACACTGAAGGGCCTTTGAATAAAACTGATCTCCAAATGCATCTAACACCAGCTGCACAATACACTCTCTCATTTGTTTGGCAGCTGCATTGTTGGAAAACGTACAATGTTAAATCCTAATTAATAAATATATTTCTGTCTTGAACATCAACAATCATTGTCCAAGTGATTGTAATGGTAACATTAACAAAGCAAAGCTTTCACTTCCATTTTCATGTTAATCAGAAGTGATTAACATGTGACTTCTCCCAAAAATATCTGGACAGTATCCAGCAAACAGGTAATGAGAATACTCAAAGTTGTCACTGGTAGAAATTGTTATCCTGATCTAACACCAAATTCTCATAACTAGTTTAAAAGGAAACATGTAACAGCTGGAGGGGAGTATTGATCATTAGATACTAGGAGTTAAGAGTTAAGTTTAAATATCTGAATAAACTGTGAACAACATTCTTGTTTGTATTTTCAACAATGTTGAGAAAAGTGATAATTAATGTGATTATATAACAATACTCATTGTCCAGTTCATTGAAAGAGTGTGAACAAGCAAGAGGAGACTTTCTAGTCTGATCTTAGATGTTGAAAGGTTCACAGGTACTGAAAAAATGCAGTCTCTACCTTCATCAAACCTGTCTTCATCCCGTCTGGTGATGAGAGTACGGAAGTCTCCAACTGGATCAACTGTTCCAACCTGAACAAGCAATACTTATCAGATACGAAGTTGCACAGCTTACATATTATTAAATTATTTACATATTTTAATTCTTGGAATTGTGAAATGTGCAACTGGGCAGTTTGCTTGTGGAAGTTGAAGTCCGAGTTTACTGCAGTAGAGAACTCTCTGTCTGCTCACTAATGAGTGCCAGTCTCATCTGCCAGTACAGTTGTCATGCATTCAAACTAAACACACAGCATCAAAACAAGAATATATCAAATTGCATTATCATACCTTAGTGATCGACCCTCTTGCCAAACTTGCCATACTGAAGTCAGTTTCATCAAAAGCATTTGTTCTGCTGGTTGATGGTTCTCCATTTGGCTTGTCTACACTGAGGTCAAATAATGCATAGCACAATCAATTGTCAGCTGAACGTCAAAAACACTGCCTTCACAACCAATCAAATGCAAACCTTTAACCAGCCCAACTTTGTCAGTTTCCTTTTTTCCAAATCTTTTAAAAGCATGTTTATATTTTGGAATCCTAATGGCACCTTGTGATTTTTTTCCCTTTGTTCTTCTCAGCCATTCTGATTACTTTGGTCTTGGTTAACCCTTAAACTCCCATGAGCGACCAAGACATATTTTCTCCTTACAATATCAATACAATACCAAGCAGACAAGTGATGAGAGTAAAGAAAAACATCAACTAGGAGATTTTTAAATGATCCCATACCCAATTCTCCAAACTATTACCAAAAGAAGTATGTGGCCGACAGTAAGGAGAATTACTGCACTAATGACATCCTGGCAGTGAAAAGGTTAAGGGTACTCAGCTGAAATGAGCTCTGACATAATAATTAATGAAACTAGATCAAACTAACAACACATTGATGTGTACATAATCATACAAAACAAGAATTAAGTAAAAGTTCACTGAAACATTACAAACGTATCAGTCATTGATAACAAGATATTTATACATACATTGGTTTGAATATGTGTTCAGCTGTGTACTCTTTCTTTTTTTCAATTTTTTCAAGGCGGAACATATCCTTAAGAGCAAAAATAAAACAACATAGACAAAATTTACATTTAAACAGACTTAAAATAAGTTATTGAACAATTGACTTAAAAATAATTTTTCTGTTAGTACCTTTTGTTCAAGCCTTGCACCCCCCCCATCCCTTCCCCCCCCCAAAAAAAAGAAACTGACTCATAAAAGAGATTTCCTTTCCCTTTTGAACTCCACAATTACTGATAGTACCTAGATTGTTCAGCACCAAGTACTACAGAAATAAAGTTGCAAGATACATCTACATACATATGGTTTACAAAATGTATGTAAGTGACATAACATTAACATAGATTTAGCCAAGCCTAAAAGCAGAGCTTGCTTCTTTTTTTTTTTTCCCGCACTTCTCAAGGGCACAACGTCTTGCCTCGGCCAGGACTAGAACTCGGGTTGTCCGACTCAGAGCCCAGTGCACTGACCACTGGATTACTGAACAAAGCCGTGGCATTGGTGTGTCCATGGTACAGTTGACCACACATGTTAAAAGTAGCACCTTGTACAGTTGTATGGTCGTATGGTTGTACAGTCGTACGGTCATACATCCAAATTTTTTCAGCTTGATGGGTTACTACTATTTTGTATAATTATAGGCTAAGCTCTGCAAACTCCACTAAAATTTGTACATCACTGCCAAGTTCTACCAAAGAGTTTCTCACCTTAATTTTCATACACTCAGGAGCACATCTTGCTTTGAACTCTGTGCTTGGCTCCAAATAACTGCACAGGAATAGATTAATTTCACACATCAAAAGAAGAATTCCTTCCTGTTCCTCTCAGAATGCAAAACTCAGGAGACACTGTATGCCCCTCCTCTTTAGAAAGCCCCCTGGTTAAACAGAATGTAAGTCCAACCATCTTTCTGAAAACTTAAGTTATTCAGTTTGTATGTATTCACCCACCCACAATGACAGTAGGCATCTTATCTCTACCTACAATATCACAGCTAAATCAAGCATTTAAGCCCTGAGAGTAAAGGAAATGATCACCAACGAAAGGAACTCTTGATTGTTAAGCAAATTCTCCTTATCAGCACCATAGGAAATGTATAGAGAACAGTATGGAGAATATGCATACTGATGTTAGAGTGAAAAGGGTTAAGGACTTCAAAGGATACAATAAAACCTTTAAGTACCTTGCAATCACAGGATCTAAATCTGGTAATGATGGATCATCTGGGTTAAGAGCACGATGTTGAATGCACTGAAATGTATGATTTGAACACAAGAAATTAGGTTATTATTTCATAACAAGGAAGAGGAAAAGAATGGTAACATCACTAGATGGGATAAATTTAGTGATAAAAAAACATGTGAATCAAACTGTACAAATGTACCCCACTAGATTACCTGGAAAACTCTTTGTCGAGCAGGGTTAAAAGTTCTGCTACATTTAAGTGCCTCTGTGGCCTGCCCATTCTCATCACTTAAGAGCAAAGGAAAAAGAGATTACTTATAGATTTAAATAAGAAGCCCTAGAAATTACTGGTATATATCTATTGAACAATTAATTGTTCAGTCAGTGTAACTGTATATCTTTACAGGTTTTATAGGAAAGGTTCGTTTGATAAAGGAATGAGTTAACCCTTTACCTCCTAGAAGTGATTAACTGGTATGTTCTCTTGCAAACATGTTGCGAGAACAGAGAAGCAAATCAGTTATCTCTTGATATAGAATTAAATTCTCTTGTCTAACTTACAAGGAAATGTATGACAAGCAGTTTATAGAATAACTAATTTGATCTTGGGAGTGAAAGGGTTAAATTCCTTTCAGTGTTTAAAAGTTACCATATATTATCATCTACATTCCTAACAATATTTTCCA